ACTTGTTAATTCACTGCTAGAAAACATAACTGCAAGTATGTTTGTTACATTTCTATTGGATATGCTTTTCTAGGTGGGCTGGAGGGTAAAGTCCTGAGAAGGGGACCCCAATCCAGGCAAATAGGATCCACTCGTGAAAAATGTGCCCTTCTCCCATGATGGACAAGTAAAAGGGAATTCTTCGAAATGTATTTTTCTGGTGCAGTTGATTCTCTCTTAAATTTTAATTTTTTTTTCTTTCCTTCAGTTTGCCATCAAAAACAGGTTTCGGCACCGAAGTAAGGCATTTCCCAAGAGGGAACACTGGCTCGACTGGGCTAAAGAGAAATACGACGTAAGTCATACTCCTGCGGCAGTGGCCCCGGCTACTCCAGGAAATGGGCGTGGAGGGAAAGCACAGAGCAGAGGGTTAGTACATGGACAATACCCTCAGCCATGTCCTCCCAGCACTTACTAGCGTGTGGAATACGACTACACACAAGCGGTTTGAAAAGACTTTAAACAGATGGCTACCATTTACTGGGGAGCAACATGACCCCCTTGGTAGCTGCTAAGTTGGGTCATCTTCAGTTAGGCGTAGGGCATGAGATCACATGACTTCAGTTCAAACGGAGAAGAGCTGGGCGGTGGTGACCTTGAGACTGATGGTTAGTGAGCTCTGGTGGCTGGTATCCCAAACAGCTATTCTTGCTCAATGGTCACTTGTTTAGAATGTCTGGTTTCCTAAAGAAACCTGAGTTCACGTTCTTTAGACTAAACCGTCACCTCCCAGCTTGTGACAAACATCCCTACTGGGCAGCAGAGCAGCAACTGCTGTCGACTCCAGCCCTGGCTAATCTGTCTGCCTGCAGGAGCGGCTCATCTCACAGATTAAGATGGTCACGAAGGTCATGTTCCTGTACATCCCACTCCCCATGTTCTGGGCCTTGTTTGATCAGCAGGTAATGTCTCTTGTTGGATGAGAATGTAGCACGAACTGCTATGTGCCCAGCTACGCTGGGTGTTCACCTCTGAAACTGTTCTCTTTCAGTCTCTTTTTGTTATTTTACTGATGCAACTGTTGCATCTTACCGAGTTTATTGATTAAAATGTATCCTGAGAGGACCCATCCACGCATCTATTGTGAATCAGTGAAGAAAATGAGATTTGTTTCTGTAGAGTAACCTTGAGGAGATTTCCTCAGAGAGCATCTGGGACTCTTGCTGATCAGAACTGAGGGCAGAGAGAGTTTGTTCTACTGACCCAGTGTGGTCGAAGGTGTTGCCTTTGAAGAGATTTGTGGAATGTTCTAATTAAGAGGGGCTTGATACAAATCTCCAGCTTTAAAATGGAATACTGGAGCCAGAAGTGCCCTACAGAATTGTAAATGACTGTACATGTACACAAGTCCTCGTACTTGAAGCAGGTCCTGACCAGACCAGACCTGTTGGTCTGTACTCTCTTTTTAATTGTTAAAACATTCATACATGTAAACAGTGTCGTTTATTATATATATATATATAATATATATATATTATATGTATATATACACACATATATATGTATACACACACACACACATATATATATGTATGTATGTTGCGGTTAATATTTAAAAAACTGTGCCTGGTGGAGCTTGTTTCCAGACAGCCACCATTTTCCCACAGCCTGGCCCTGGACCGCAGCTCTGACTATCTAGAAACACCGGCCCTGGCAGCTCTGACTATCTAGAAACACCGGCCCTGGCACCCACAAGACACCAGTGTGGCCTTTGGCTCTGCCAATCCACCACACTGTCCACAGTGTTTGGCTAAGCCTAGACCATTCTCGCTATGGCTGCGGTACCCGGTAGAAATGAGATTCTTAATGCTTAAAGATTATCCAGTATTTATGTATTTGGAAATACTCAATTAACAAGATACTCACACAATTAGAATCGTTAACCCAATTAACTAACCTAGATATAGATAACTACCTGAAACTGCTAGAGACACTCGGATATCTAACCTAGATATAGATAACTACCTGAAACTGCTAGAGACACGCAGACATCTGCAGCCATCTTCTCTCCTCCTCCTCTCGCTTTTTCTCCTGCTTCTTCTTCTCTCCTCCCCATCCTCTCCTTCTCTTTCTTCACTCCTCCCATATTAGCTCCTCTCCAATTACGGAGCTTTATTGCAAACAATGTAGCAGTAGTAGGAAATTATCCTGCTACGTATATACACCATTACCTCCTTCCAACTGGCTCATCCCATGTCCCTCTCAAAGTCATGTTCTCCTTTACTGCTGTGATTGTAACCTAAGTCCAGTTAGCACATAGATATGACGCCATCTGTAGGACACACACTGGAGTCCTGCACAGTCATGTCAGACTACCCAGTCCACAATACTCACTAGTCAAAGCAAGAAGATACTGTTTCTTCTAGAGGCCGTGGGCAGATATGTGTCATGCACAGACAGGATTATTGGAAAGCTAGGCTATCCGTGGAAAACTCCTTGTCTGTAGTATGAAGTATGCAGCAGCCTAGAAAGGGCAAAGGAGCCATCTTGTGTGTGGAAAGAGCCTAACTGGGGTCAGATTTGCACTCAGAACACAGGCATCACTGGTAGCTGGGTGACATGGGCTAAGAACTCGGAACCCTTCTGAACGTGTTTGTCCTACTCACTCGCCTCTTCTGTGAGGTCCAAATCAGACATTACATACAAAGACCCCGGTGACTGGTACAAACTTAAGAGTCAAACAGGGCAGGGCTGCCATTTCCATGGGGAGCTGATGGATTCATATTGATCCATTAAGCATTTAGTCTTCCATAAAAATCATCACATCCTGTAAGAGACAGATGAACTGTATTAGGCTCCCCAGATTTGTGTCTTTAGGGTGAAGCATTTAAAGCTCCTCCCTGGCTTTTTTTTTAACCAATGGTTCCTTACCATTGTAATGTTCTAGATGCTGACACCGGCACCTGTAGAACACAGGGCCCTGATGAGCTCACCCTGAGAGGTGGTACCATGTATTCACACAGTTTTGTATCCCCCAAACAGCTCTGTCGCAGAGGTCCTTCACGCATCTCAGGATGTACCACGGGCTTTTGCCTTCCTAGTATTATGACAGAGCTAAGAGGCAGATCAGATGCTTATGACTACTTCAAATCCCATAATATTTCAGTCCTGATATAGAAGGTTTGCTGGTGGATTATCACGTTCTAAAGAGCTACATCCCCCATTGTACAATTGATGCATTCATTTTTTAGGGTTCCAGATGGACATTGCAAGCAACGACCATGTCTGGAAAAATTGTAAGTTTGCCTGTTCCTGGTCTCTCCCCTCCAGGTCACCACTGCCCTGCTTTAGTCCCTTGGTCCTTTATTCTTTCCTTCCCTAGTTTTTTCCTTCCAGTAAGATTTTTGCCTCCTCTTTTTCAGGGAGCAATTGAAATTCAGCCCGACCAGATGCAGGTAGGAGAAAAATGCTCAGCTCACTTTCCGAGGCCCATGTGTTCCTTGTGATTGCACTAACACCCCTCTCCACTTCCTCTGCAGACAGTGAACGCCATCTTGATTGTCATCATGGTCCCCATTATGGATGCTGTGGTGTACCCGCTCATTGCAAAATGTGGTTTCAATTTCACGTAGGTGGCTGTTTGGCCTGGGTTGACTGAGATGCTGTTGGTGTATATTTGACATGAGTTGACTGAGATGAGATGCTGTTGGTGTCTGTTAGACACGGGCTGACTGAGGTGCTGTTGGTGGCTGTTTGGCTTGGGTTGACTGGGATGCTATTGGTCCAGGGCTCGCAAATGTTCTGCTTCCAGAAGCTCCCACCGAGGTGATGAGACATTTATTTAATTTATTTTTGCAGTACTGGGAATCGAACCTAGGCGATTTTACACATGCTAGACAAATATTCTCCTACTGAGATAGAATACCACCCTCTTTTCCCTTTCTATTTTGGCCTTAAACTCACCCTGCAGCCTAGTTAGACGTTGAACTTGCAAACTACCCAAGGAGATGGGATTATAGGCCTGTGCTACAAGGCTTGGCTGATGATGAAGCTTTCAAAGAAATTAATTTAAGAGATATTGGGGGATGGGGGATATCTCACTGGGTAAGAGTGCTTGCTGTGCAAGCATTAAGCCCTGAGTTCAGATCTCTAGGACCTATGTAAAATGCCAGGCATGGCAGTGTGTATCTGTAACTTCAGATCCCTGGAGCTGCCAGCTGGTCAGCTTAGCCAAACATGATGAGCTACAGGTTCAATTAGAAATCCCGAGTTGTGTAAATAAAACGGACAGGGACAGAAGACATTTGACATCCTATGACCTCCTCATGTTCACACATGGTCTTGTACATACTCATACACATTTGCATACAGCTGCACACGTGTGCATGCTCGAGCACACACACACACACACACACACACATACAGAGAGAGAGGGGGCTTTAAAAAGAAATGTCTGTATGCAGTGTCTCTGAAAATGCCCTTTACATTATATAAAATTGCTATTAACAGAAGCCTGAAAAAATTAGCTGTGATCGTAGGACTTCTAGAAGTTGAAGGAGAAAATGTGACTAGGCATTCTATTCGACCCCACTAGTCTGGACACAAATAGCAACAGAAAGGGACTCAGAGATGGCTCAGTGGTTAGGAATGCTTGCTTCTCAAGCATATGGACCAGAGTTTTCATCCCAGAATCCACCTGGAGCAGCTCATAAATGCCTGTGACTCTAGCTCCTGAGGATATGACATCATCTTCTGGCCTCACAGAACGCTTTCACATGTGTGTGTGCATATACTGAGAGAGAGCACCTTCACACACATGTGTGCATGTACTGAGAGAGAGCACCTTCACACACATGTGTGCAT